TCAGCTGTTAGTGCTCAGAGACCCCCAGTACATTAGGTGTGCTTGTGAGGGAAGAGTCTTCTCACATACGATGCAAGTGAACTGCTGACATTTTGCATATATGAAGAAGAGATGTGAAACACGCCTTCTTTTTCCTTAATTTTATTCACATGAATGAAAGAACAGCTCTTGAGACTGGGACTTGCCATGCTGTGTCATTTATTTGAAATGGGCATCATGCCATTGCTAGCACTGCGCTCCATTCAGTAGGGTTATGCCTTTCACCAAAGTATGGAGTAGAGGAATAACATCAGGTAGGTTATCTCCTCCTCAATTGACATCTAACACCAAGAAACACAATAAAATGTTACTTTTTCCTGTTACGACTTTGTGCCCTAGCAGTGTATGTACTGTAAGATAAGGTGTGATGGTGAAGCTGTCTTCTGCTGGCTGTTACTTGCTTTGGCTCAGCTATTACAGAGACACTATATAATATGCTAAAAAAGTGGAAGAAGATAGATCTGCTGTTGCCTTCTTACATATTAGAGAAACAAACACCATGTCTCCATGTGAAAATCACATTTCATTGGAAATAGATTAACCATAATCACCACATACAGTATCTATTAAATTATACTGTTTCCTGCCTCATTACATCTGTGATGCTTTCCTAGAGATAGAAGCACAACCATGTGTAGCTCTTTTCCAAGTCAATTTCAAATAGCTACTGTGGTTCAAAAATCTGTTCAAAAAACCTGTTTTGTTTACAAGAAATAATGAAATAAACTTGGGCCGTGTGTTCAAACAGCCTTAGTTCAGGTTAGATTAGAGAAACAGCAGTTTAGCGTAGCTGCTCATTTCAGCCTCCAGAGAAAAAAGGTAACTGGGTCCTAAAGTAATAGCTATACCTTTACTTGGAGAAGTTTCTCCCAAGACACGTGCTAGAGAAACCTGCTCAGGTGTGCAAGTGTGTCCATAGTCTGGGTCCTTCTCTTGAAGGAGGCAATTATTCCACTGCCACTTCCCTAAAATTAAACCTGGGATTAAAAAAAACCAAATCCCATAAGCTGAAATGGAGACTCATAGACGTATCCATGAAATTAATTCCCTGTTATATACTAAACATTCTATTTTGTAATAGGGGATTTTTTTTCTCTCTTTTATATTTATGCAATGCTGTCTTACATTTTTGGAAGGAGCAATGTGTGCCTGGTTGCCAGTTCTCCTTTCTCCACCTCAGAAAGGGCTGAGATTCACAGGTGGGTGGTAGTGTGGGTTGTGAAGCTTAGGCTACAGTAGGAAACGAAACCAAAGTAACAGAAGCTAAACCATCCCCTCTGGGATTTTAACTCTTTCACCCTTTAGAAACAGCTTTAGGGTTTGCCACATGAGGGAAGAGAAGGAAAAAACCCCATCAACCCATAGAATACACTGCACACATCTCCATAGGAGTTGTGCAGTGTTGTGGTTTAACCCCTGGCAGCCACCAAGCCCCACGCAGCCCACCAGTGGGATGGGGAGAGGATCAGAAGGGTAAAAGCTAGAAAACTCATGGGTTGAGATTAAAACAGTTGAATAGGGAAAGCAAAAGCCACGCATACAAGCAAAGCAAAACAAGGAATTAATTCACTTTCCCATGGGCAGGAGGTGTTCAGCCATCTCCAGGAGAGGAAGGCCCATCACGTGGTTCCTTGGGAAGGCAAACAGTGTCACTCCTCCCCACTTTACATACTGAGCATGATGTCATATGATATGGCATATGCCTTCAGTCACTTGTGGTCTGCTGTCCCAGCTGTGTCTCCTCCCAACCTCCCATGCACCCCCAACTTCCTTGCCAGTGTGGCAGTACAAAAAGCAGAAGAGGATTTGGCTCTGTGTAAGCTCTGCTCGGCAGTAATGAAAACATCTCTGCATTATCAACCCTGTGTCCAGCACAAATCCAAACCATAGACCTGTACTAGCCACTGTGAAGAATGTTAACTCTACCCCAGCCCAAACCAGCACAGTTGACTTTCAGAAGGAAAAGGCAGCTTTCCTTAGCATAAAGATGTCCATTCTGCAGCTTCTATTATTAGTCTGCTAACATATTATCAAGCAACTTTTATCATCTTCCCCTCATCCTGTGTGGCATGAGTCCTTGCAACTATAGTGTGATCAGTTTTTTTCAGAAGCCTGTTTAACTGTGATTAGGCAAGTTCATGGGCTGGCAAAATTTGAGTTCTTACACAACTGAAGGATAGGAAAAACCCCTTAGTATTACACAATAGACATGTTTGCAAGTAAGAGAATGATTTCTTCAGTTACTGGAAGTCATTTTTCAAGTATTTAATTCACAGTGCATCTTAAAGACAGAGGATCTCAAGCTGGTATTTCAGTAATTCTCACTTTCTTCCTTGCAGCAACAGATTTAAGTTAGGAGAAAAGGTCTACATTTACCTTTTCTTCATGGTTTCCTTTAACTTTTTCATTCTACTCTCTTTTCCTGTGCCTCAAATTGAACTAAAGGTTTGAATATAAGTTTTGCATATCTGCTAATGAAATCATCAACATCTCTCAGAACTGCCAGAATAAATTTTACTTTTTTCTTGCATTAGAGAATCATCTTAGAATGCCTGAAACTCATTTTTCATGGGTTTTATATGAAAAAAAATTATGGTAAGTCTGTCTCAATATGCAACACATTTAATTTGCAACAAATATTAGGAGGGTTTTTTAAAGGCATTGTTTAATCTCCTTTCACCAACTCAGAGTTTAGTCCAGCAACTTTTAAACTAAACTTTGACAATGAGCTGCTCAATGTACAATACTGCACTTTCAGTTTTTCTTACTAAATCTTTTATTCCACTTGGAGACATAGATAAGTGCAAAAAACGAACCAACACAAAAAACATATACATGTTTTTTATCAAAAACATTGCCAAGTGCTAGGAATATGCAGGTGAAAGGAAATACATATTTCATTCTTCATTGATTTATCCCCACATGCTCACCCTGGGAGGTTTAGGGTATTTCTCTACAAACACAATTCCATTGACTCGAACAGCAATACCTACAGACTAAACAACTTTGTCTTCTTAAGTAGCACCAAAGCTACTGGTAATGCTGCCTGGTCATCACCATCCTTTCTCCCACTTCAGGTTTGAACATTGGGTTGTTGGGGGGGTCCTCAGGCAAGCATAAGACTGATACCATCAGGACAGCACTGAATATCAAAACATAGTTTATAAAATCCATGTTCCTCACTCTTTATCATGTTATCACAGACAGCTGCTGCAGCAGGAGGCTTTCAGTTTCTGAGAAGAGTTACCCATTTAGCTTCTGTTTGTGTAAAAAAAGCCTGTCTGGTGAAAACATGTTTCCCACTAGGATATGAAAGCTTGGAAGTGGAATTTATTTTGCTGTTTTGTTATATTAATATGAAAAGTAAGAAATGTTTGGGTGTTTTTTCACATATAAAATTACACATAAAAAAAGATCAGAAGGGAGAAGTTGCATTGCGATTGGTACAGGAAGATGCATGGCCATGCACATCTCCTGAGGAAAACTCCCAAATACAAAATATTTGAAATGTTGAAATATTTTATTAAAATAGGTACAAATAGGATCATGGGTTGAAAAAAAAAAAGTCACTAACTTCTGAAAACATGTCCTGCATTATTTCAAAGGATAGCAATAGATCACAGTGTATCAGGAAGCCACCTGGAAATAAGTTGGAAAACCTCCAGAAGCAGGAGCTATAATCACTCACCAGACCTTATGAATATGTTTCACTGGCAATGCTCAGTGCTTATCAGGGCTGCAGATTTTCTATTCCCTCATCATGCTCCAAATCTAGTGGTTTGACCTTGTGTAAGGGCAGACTCCCCTTACACAAAAGGAGAGGTTACTTTTAAGCTTAGAAAGAGCACTGAAATCACAGGAAAATGTTTTCTTTCTCCTTCAGGTGTACTGAAGAAATAGTTCTGTTCGCTTGCCCAGGTGGAGATTTCCTAACAATGGGAGAAAAGTCACAGTTTTTGTCCACTGGTAAAATTGCATGTTAAAAAAATGTAATCCTTCATCTTATTTAAAATAAATATTAAAAAAAATCAATATTTGATCAATGCTTATAAAAAAATAAAAGTCTATTGACCTAGTCTATTCTGCTAAAACTGCTTGTATGCATGTGCTGGCACAGGAGACCTTAAAATACTTTCTAGACCCCACAGAAGGCCACAGCATGAATCTCTTCTGGCTGAAGTGTTAATTGGCAGAAAAATGTATTAGAAGCATGAAAACATGGCAGGTTTGAAACTGAGAGTACAGACAGTGGCTCAAGTTAAAAGTGAATTAGATGCCTCAGTGTTGCAGTGCTTCCAGCCACCTTGGCAAAGTTGCAGGTACTCAAAATGGAAAAAAACAGCACTTACACACAAATGGAGCAAAATGTGCATATTATCATTTAAGGTGCAGTCACTTCTGTTAAGATTCAAGACAGGTGGAAATCTAGTTGAAAGAGAAACTAGTTCTTTGTCCTCCTCCTGCTAACAGACTCAGCATTTTGTCAAATTAAGAGAGCAAAAATCTGTTCAAGTATTTGCATCAAGCAGGCTCCTAACTAGCTGAAAGTGAAACCTCCTGATTCTGTGGTGTACTGTGTCACCCCAGACAGTAAAGCTTCACCACCTGCAGCCTCACTTCGACAAATAAAGTTACTTTTTTAATTATTCATCTTCCCTAGGCCAAGTTATTAATTCCTCTCTTTTTTGCCTATCTGAAACAAGTATCATGGCAGAAATCTTTTAGCACCTCTAGTTACAGAGTACATTTCAATGAAAAATAGATTACAAATAGTTTCATCAACATTTTTAGGAGTTCTTAAATAGAACAGCCTTCAGCACACTTAGAAAAAAGGCAATGAACAAAACCAACTGCAAAATAGCCCCCCTCTTTCTAGGGGTTGTCATCACAGAGAAGTCACTGGAAAGAACACCTGATTTTAAAGACATTCAAGTCAGTCTGTGATAGCTTCAGTGGGATAGTCACCTTCTGCAACATGATATGCAGCAGCAGAGGATTGTTCTGAGGGGATGTTTTCTTCTGTATTCCAAAGCTTTTTTCACTTGGTCTTTAGCATCTCCTACGTAGTCCTCAACATTTTGCATATTCAACTCAATAACATCAAAGGTGTCCGCCTGTTCCTCCACTAGCAGGGCCACCTGCAGAAACAGCTCGTGAACTTCCTTAATGCGACCTTCTAACTTCACCAGCTCCTTGTGTCGTGTCTCTATCTCATTCAAAGCGGAGCGAGCCCCTTTAACATCCGACAAGAGATTCTCGGAGAAGACATCCCACTTGCCTTGCTCAATCATCTCTTCAATCTGGTTGCCAGAAACATCTTTGCCCATGATCTCCAACTGCCGCTGAATTCGAATCTTGCAGTTCTCCCGTTGATTCATCTCTGTTGCATTGTAATCAAACATAGCATTCTGAAATGTGTGCATGAGGTCAACATAGTGGTTCTTTGCTACCCTGGCAATGACAGACATAGCTCCATATTTCGTTACTGCATCTTCACAGAAATCTCTCATTACCTGCAGTTTCCTGTGGATGCCTTCTCCACGGGCCTTAATGTCTCTGGCAATACAATTGGTGTCTCGTTTGATGCTACTAAGACGGCGCATGGAAGTAAGGAATCGTGTATTTTGCTTTCTGAGCCGGTTGACATCCTCTTTTAGGTGGTCGTTTTCTGTCCGGATGTTCTGTATGTCGTTATGAAGAATTTCCAAGGCATAATCGGTCTCATAAATGAGAATATCCTGAGATGAATTCTCATCATCCTCATCAGAAAACTGTTGGTTGTGTAACCTGGCAAATTCACGCAGCTCACTGAGACGGTCTTTCATCCTGCCTGTAAAACAGAGCAACAGGAGGGAGGAAGTTTAAAGTAAATAAAATATTGGTTTACAAGAATTGGAAGTTTGTAACTAATAACTACATCACAGTGATAACTATATCATAGATAACAAACATAACTGTATCATAGATAACAAACATAACTGCATCAAAGATAACCCAGAATATCAGATTTAAAATTTGTTCATAGTATTTTATACAGTAATGGATATCAGATCCAAAACTCTTCTAGAAAAGTATAAAGCTTAGAAACTAAAGAACTACAAGAGAGAAGACAACAAATCCTGAGGACAAAGCCAAAAGAATAAGACAATTCCCAATGCCCTCCAAATACCAGTCTTCCACTTGGAGAAAAAAAACCAAATCCTTGATCAGAAGCCTTCAGCTATCAGCATCTCTAGGCATGTTAATAACTGAACAACTCCCACTACTGCTCACTAGAGAAATCTCCTCTTGCTCTTGACCCTTCATGATATCAAATGCCCAAAATGTCACAGGTTCTGTCATTCTTAGCTTGCTTTTCCTGGAGAATGGTAGGAAGCCTCTCAGAAATAGAGATGCCATTTGTCATTTGGGAAAGAAAAGTTGCGAATTATGTGAAAAGTATCAAGATGGGGGGGGAGAAGAAGGAAGTTTAGTACCTCCACATCCTGTCATTGACTATAGTGTACATCAGCAAAACAACACAGCAATAGCAGCATTTTATAAGTAAAACCATCCATCCAGCCCTTCTTGTTTTGTATGACGGAAACATCCTACCGATGGCATAAAATAACAGTGTTGTTATAGATCAGCATCCATTTTCTGTGTGTTTGCCTCAGATATACTTAACTACACATTTCATTAGAAAGCCACAGAATGAGTAATCTGTGCAGACCAGTTGCATGGTGACAAAACATGTCTCCTTTAAGTTGTTTACTAGAAATCTAGACCTACAGTCTTTGCAGAAAGTGAATTTTGAAAGCCTCAGCAAGAACCCTGTGCCAACTGTTTCAGCAAGCAGGAAAATGAAAATTCTTCATCACAAGTGCCATATATCCCATGACCTCATTTAAATCAGTAAGAAAGAGAATCAAGTTAAGACACAGCACCAAACATGACATCTCTAGATCTCTGTTTGAAGGATTCATTGTCATTTTCCCAGGAATTAAAGTATCTTCCCAGCATTTAAAAACATGCTGTCCACTGTGAATGACACATCCCTTCATAGGATCATCAGTTATTCCCAGGTTAAGAAAAGTCACATATGTATATACCCGGCATAATAGGCCTAAATCTAGTGTGAATTGAAACAACAAGTTTATCATCCATTTCATGAGACTGCTAGATGTGTTAAAGATGCCATCACTGGCACAGCTTCTTGGGCTCTTACAGCTCATTGCAGGTATATACTGGTCTTGAGAACCATCCTGTTTAGGATGACGATATTAAAGTTAAAAGGTGAACTTCAACTTAAACCAATTCTTTTACAAGCAACGTAAATCAAGAAACTCCATTGTCTGAACTTAAAACATAAGCCACATAGATTCAATTCAATCATATAGAGAGGGCCTTAGGAAATGAAAGGTTTCCCACCTCCTCCCTCAGCAATAATAAAATCAAGACTTTCACCTCATGCCACAACATCAAGATAAAAAAATGCCCATCTGAAAAGTAAAAACCAAAATGTGTGGTGCAGCTCAAAAGTCAGGTTTTCAGTTTTACTTGTCCTTAAAATTGTATAGCCTCGTTTGCACAGAGGCACTGAGACACTGAGAATATCCTTCCTGTCTGGAAATAGTGGACCATTTTCTAGACAGCATGGTGAAAAGGGAACAAACAATGGCATCAAGCAATGCCAGGATGATTCAGATCTCTTCTAATCACTGTTTCTGAGATGCTTTTCACCTGAAATGTAATGTGGCTCTGAAAACCTGTCACATGCTTGTCTGACTGCATTCCTGACTCTTGCTGGCTTCCCTAGGATTGATGATTCTCCCACCTCTAGTCTGATCCTTTAACTACCATGTGTTGTATTCAGCAGTTTATTCTTCTGCTGTTTAGCATCTACATGTGGAAACAGAAAATGATGTTGTTTATTACTTTAAAATGGCCATCCACAGCAGAAAGGTGCCATTCGTGTAAACGAAGTCATATGAGTGCAGGACTACATTGAGCTTTGTGCTTACTGTTTCTTAAACATCAGAAAAGTTAAATTTCATTGGCCTTCTACAGAGAACAGACTAACAACTGTTTCAACAACAGTTACATTTTATCTTCTGTGCTTGACAAAGACAACGCAAACAGAAAACCACACTGAGTAAGAGCTCCTACATAATAAACTCTTAATTTTCTAAGAGTAGGTCTATCCTTCCTTCCCCAGGAAGAAATGGAGAAGCAAATATACAGTAATTCACAACATGAAAACTCGAGTGCTCTAATAAATTCATGTGTATACTAATTCTACAGCATCTCTAAAAATATTGCTAATTTTTTTCTTTTAATTTAACAGGAAGTGTTAAAATGCCAAGCATTAAAAGAAGAGTAAGCTGTCAAGTGTGGCCTCAGATTGCACCACGATGTTGCCTACACACAGGAAGATCACGCAATTAAACACCAGTCTATGTACTATCACTATCCATCTGCCTACAGTCTGTATGTGCTGAATAAAAGTTGTACAATATAAAATTTAATATTCATCATTGAGTTCATGGAAAGATATCACATTGACTGTGTTACTACTGTTCATTTCCTCAGGGATTTCTCCTGTGAAATCATTGGAAAGCTCCATAAACTCCTAACAGTCTTCTGGGGGAGGGCAGATCTAAGAGCCTCATACTCAGGCACAGGTTTCAGCCCAGAGTGATTCAGGACAATGCTATCACACTTGATGAGGTGTGATGCCACTTGAGACACCTGAAGCACAATTCTTTGTACCTGGAACATTCAGAAGTCAGCTCCTTCTGTCTTCAGTCAGTGCTGCAAGCCTTGGGCCCTTTGGTAAGATCGTGAAGTAACAAGCTGGACATCAGTGAATAAACACATGGATCAAAGCCACTTGTGTCAATCTCAGCTTCAGTGATATGGACAGCATCACGCACGATCTCCACGATCCAGCAGATCCAGTAAAATCCAATTCTAAGTGGAACAGAAGGATCAAGTTACAGTTGCACTGACAATCTTTGGCCTGGGTTTTCCCAGCTTCCAAGTGCTGAGTTCTAAAAGCCTACATTATTTGTAACTACATCCCAAAACATACATTCTAGGTGGTCCACATTAGGATCTTTTAACTCTGCATTGAGGACCTGTACCTGTCAGGATACAAACAGCAAAAGGTGCACTCTAGTCCTAACAAAAGGTTGGTATCTCTTCAAGCCTGACTCTAGAGTCCTGCAAAATCAGGAGTTTCTGGCATCTTCTTTCATTCTCCTTGAGTCCTGTCTTTTACACTCTGTTTCTAAAGTGCATCTCCTAGCCTGCTTCCCACTTCACATTTTCAAGATGCTTTTCCTTATCTACATACAGTACCTGGACAGGATGGAAGGACAGGAAGTGAATAACTTTCTGTCTGTATGTCAGCATCATATTAGACCACAAATGCCACAAATTGCAGAGGACACCTGTTCAGCTTCATGCCTGAACATGCCCAAATACTCTGTAGGTTAGCATTTGCGATGTTTAGCCGAAGAGATTTATGAGGTTCAAGAAAATGTTTATATTTCACCTTTCTTGAGCACCTTTTGCTCCAGGAACACAGTAAATTCATTTGGGCCATTTGGAAACTGCTGCTTTGATAAACTCACAATTTGGCAACATTGTAGGATTTTTTACGTAAAGAAAACAGCAGGCTGGAATGCAACACCACCACAGAGGTCTTTTCCTATTTCAGATTCTCATTTCAAATGAAGGGGAACAGATCTTCCCAAGAGAGAACAATAACTTCCAAGCATTCTTTGGATAGTGTCAGGGACAGAACTGACACTAAAGAGCTGAAACAAATAAGCATGAGAATGCAAGGAGGAGCAGCAATTCAAAAAATTTCAGCTTAACAGATCAGTATTTAGAAAACCTGACCTCCTTTCTCAGATGCTGTTGTTACTCAGGAAAGTTTGCATTTACTTACACATAGGTAGTATTGTTTGTAATCAGAATGGCAATATATTAATACATAGCACATTACTAGTTGTTAGGCATAGCCTCAGCACGCATGCTGTAAAATGAGCTGCCTGGTGTAGCAGTAGAAGTTGGGGTCCCTGGCTAGAAAGCAGGTCTGCAGACAAGGACCTCAGTGTGCTGGTAGACATGAACTTGAACATGACCCTTCGTGGAAACATACAGCAACAGCACAAGAGGCAACAGACCCAAGTGGAAACAAAGGCAAAGCCATCCAGTTATGAGTAGGGGGAAGAGGAAAAAAACCCCAACAAACCTTGAGAAAAAAATGGAAAAGGTTCCCTGAAAAGTTATAGAATCTGCTTCATTGAAGATATTCAAAACTCGACTGGATATGGCCCTCAGCAACCTTGTGTGTGTTTTGAGGGGAGCTCAAATATACAATATCCAAAGGTCCAGTCTAAATTGTACTGGATATGGCCCTCAGCAACATTGTGTGTTTTTTGAGGGGAGCTCAAATACACAATATCCAAAGGTCCAGTCTAAATTGCTCTGGTACTCAGCCTTAGGTAAAAAGTTTGCTCATTTGAACATGAATACTAAATATATTCAGCTACTTCTGCAGGTTTATTTAAGATATATCTAACACACTAGAATATCAAAGCACCAACTTTAATTCTAAGAGCATGTGTTTTAATAAATTAACTGTCAGTTTGATTTTATTTTAAAATACTGTGTGTTCAAACTGCAGCATGTACTTCCATGTTTGTATTCCTGAGCTAGGTAAATCCATCCTTCTAAAAATGAAGTTCCTTCTGCAGTCCATCATGGTGTGTAGACCCAAACACACAGGAAATACAGGACAGGTGATTACTGCAGAGGTTACAGCTTTGAAGCC